GATGATCTTTTGTTCTGTGTTAGGATGTATAATCTTATCTTTATCTATAATATGTATGTATTTAGTTATACCGTAGGAAAGCTGTTCTGCATGCTGATGCTACGGCACAAATGGGCCGGCTCGACCGAAGTGATAGGGACCATGGCCTTACAGAAAATCGTTGTTGGGCAATCCCTTCGTTGCTTTTCACTAAGCGCTTACCCCATCGAGTGATATAAGCCCCCCCCCCCCTCTAGTTCTGGCAGGGGGGGCCTCAATTTTCATAATTACAGACACAAAAATCCATTTTCTTTACATGTATAAGTTGGTAGATCACGGTATGGATATAAATCCTTGGATTCGTTGCCTTTAAATTTAATTATGTAGATCTAGGTACTTACTGTTCTTGTACAGCTTCTGTTACATAGCAAAGTTCTTACGGTTTCCTGTTGGTGTTTAGGTATAACAATCAGTCACTAAAGAAAAGACTGCATATAATTTTCAACTACTGAACTACTGTTCAGATAAATAACCTACATTTAGAACATAAGTTTATCTTGCCGCTGAGGGCATATTGCAACTTTATTTCACTTGTACTCAATCGTCTCAGCGTGCAGGAGTCCATGGGCGACGGTGGTCACGTACCATCAGTTGATCCGTATGCTCGCTTGCCCCCACAATTTCACGTTGCCAAACAATAATGCGACTTACAACAACTGATATATATGATATATATATAACTGATATCTATAATTTCAAAAAACAAATCAACTAAAAGTAAACTTATGTTCTAAACAATAATAACACTCTTTTATCTTTGTTGAAAGTTTTGTGTTCTTACACACCACACATTACAGGGACCTTAGGCCATCGGAGAATTTAAAACTAAAAATGCCAAAACTGGGTGGAATACCCAGTTTGCAGACAAATATCTGTGCAAGCAGCAAGGACTCTGGAACCTCTTGCGTGAGACAATCTGACAAGCTAAAACCTTGTCTGTTTTTTTTTAAACTAGTAAAGGATTCTTATCTTTATAAATTTCATTATATGTTCTAAATATGTATGTGTATGTGCATTTGTAATGGTTTTGTTGATATTTTTAAATATTCCTGATTAGATTAGATTGATAATGTGTTACGTGTATGTATACTACCCTAAATTGTTAAATACCTAAAATCCATGTTAAGGTTGTCTAGAACAGGTCGCCGTGAGCGATAAGACCACCGATTGTTATGTCTACTTATTTGTAACTCATCTCTTGTTAATTTCTTTAAAGTGTATACCATAAAGATATACATAAATAACTTTATACATCTGATATACGGCAGTCTGGTCCCAACCCAACCGTCAGGCGGGTCACCTGATGGTAAGTGACTACCGCCGCCGGTTTGCTCGTTTGTCTCCGTGGTTTCACCTATGAATTTGTCTCTTGTAGGCGATTTTTCCATCAAAATGTCGTAAAAGATTGCTTTCTAGCCATAAGACCATCTTTCGTAAGCTTCTTTCCAGCATTTTTCGTATGCAGCTATTTGGCGTTATTGAACAAACAGCAAAATGCGAATATTTCTATTTCTAGAAGTCTATCGACGAGAAAAATAAGGAATTATATTAGGTCTTTACCTATGAAATTGCCGTTTTGTATGCAATAAGTGAAAGTACTTATATTTTTTTTTTTTTTTATTTCTGTTATTCGAAGTAATCACCCATGCAATCGACGCATCTTTGCCAACGCATTGGCAGTTTATTGATGCCCTTCTTTTAAAAATCAGCTGGACGGGAGGCAACAAACTCTTCAAAGGCATTTTGTACTGCCTCTCGGGAATTGAATTGATTTTACCCACTAAAAAGTTGTCTAAATTTTGGAAAAAGTAATAGTCGGTAGGTGTAAGGTCTGGTGAGTATGGCGGATGAGGGAGAGCTTCCAACCCCAGCTCTTGCAGCTTGGAGACTGTCTGTTGCGCAGTATGGGGTCGCGCGTTGTCGTGAAGGAGCAGTGGGGACGACCGATTGACCAAAGCTGGTTGCAGATGTGACCACCGATGTGATTTTTACTAGAAGGTTTCCTCAATAAACTGCCAATGCGTTGGCAAAGATGCATCGATTGCATGGGTGATTACTTCGAATAAGAGAAATAAAAAAGTTTGAAAAAATAAGTAATTTCACTTATTGCATACAAAACGGCAATTTCATAGGTAAAGACCTATTATTATATAATTATATTTAACTAATAAATAAAATATCATAATACATTATAATCATTTATTCATGTATATTAATTACAATACATCAAAAATTTTTGGTGTAATAAGAGATTCGCTACTGCGGAATCTCTTGGCCCACTACCTGTAAATAAGTAGGCCATTTAATAAATTTATAACACCTAAACATTATTGTACATCATCAGGAATGTACTAAAATCTACAACTACGCTGCAAGATTAATGCAACTATCATATTAATCAAATTTTACACAATAATCGTAAAAGTTAAATACCTTAAATTAATTACTAGAATAAAATATTAAATCAGTCCTTTACAAAAAAATAATGTTTTTACAACGCAGTATACTTTTTTTAAATGTTTTCTTAATTTCCTATTGTACTATGGATATTAAACTCGATAAAAAAATGTGAAAAGGCAAGCTGTCATAATTGTCGAAAACGAAACAGAAATCTGCCATCATTGTGGAACTAACTTAAATACTTACATTTATACTAAAACTAAGCAAAAGGCAATTTGTGATACTAAACGAACAAATTTTAAGTAATATTCCATCTTTTACAATATTTTTAACTTGTTTGTTCCACAAGTGTTAAATATATGTCGTCTTCAATCATAATTAACGTATCAGTTATGTTTATTAACATCGACAGAAACTGTGTCGCAGTGGAAATAAAAAAGTACAAAAGCGATTTTTGTGGAGGTTTTTTGTTTTTTTTTTTCTTAGTCTACAAATCAAAAGAAGCACCAGTTTTCTTTGCGCGAAATATGTAATGTTATTTAGTTATTTAAATTATATTTGAAAATATTTGTGATTCCTTTATATACTAACTTTTTTCGTACAAAGAAAACAGGGTTTCTAACCTAATTTATAAATAACTACACGCTAATACTGAAAGTTTTTAGAAAATTAAAATATACACCTTAAAAAACCTTATTTAAAGTAACAAATCACGAGCATACCGAGACGGTGTATAATCGCGGTAATATCTACGTTATTCAATCATTACTATGTACAATTATTTATATACAAAAACAGATCCATATTTATATTACGCTACTTTTAATATAATGACAGCTCACCATTAAAACCAAAGACTCATGTTTTATGATTAGCTTTTCATCAAATAAAAAAGTACAAATTATATAATTATATACTAAATGTATTAATTATGTAACGTGGTGATTAGATTTATAAGTTACGCGTATTTAAGATATTATTCCAGGCCCATTTTATACGTTATATATCAAATAGCAGTATATAACAAACATTTCTATAATTACCATTAAATATTTTATAATTTTTATTAATTTTTGTTTTCCATGCATATATTAATAAATCTGGATGACTTAGTTTTTGAATATTGCATTTTTTAAATTAAACTAAATTCAAGATTGCACGTTGATCAAGTAACTTTATAAATGAGATTTATCGTAAATTTAGTAATATAGGATCCATTAAAACAATAAAAGTGACAGAACTGCAGTGATAGAAGAACACAGGTACAATTACAAAACCCACCTAAAAGCGGGCTTATTACAAGTTGCAGCTTCACAATCTATGTAAAGTAGCGTAACATATATAAATACTTTCCATCACTAATCCATCACAAAGCGGACTTGGCATACATTCACAACATTTGTCAAAGTTTTAAATACCAACTAAAACTATATTTACACAATTTGTCATATATTAATGACATCACAAAAATGTTTCCAAATAAATCACACCTACAATGCATCCAATAAAGAAAATTAATTTATCCTTTTATTTACAAATTACGCGTTGTTTAGGCAGTGATGTAAATTTAACTCCACAACTATAAAAAAATTGAAAAAAAAACACGAAAAAAAACATCGCATAAAATAACTAAATACGTTAATATCTTTATAGGGTTATCAGTGTAATTTTGAACTTATTCACCCCTAATTTTAATTTAATTTTAAAAACAACTTTAAAAGATTCTATTCGATTTCAAACGCTAACTTTGTGTAATGAAGAAAACGCTCCAGATAATATTTATATTTTATTCAGAAAATTTCAAAAAATAAAAAGATCCTATTATATATCCTGAAACTTATGGCTTATCTTCATAGAGTTTCATCAAAATGCTTATTTCTAATATTTTAGCAGATTAAAGACATAAAGTCAATTTATAAACTACTGATCGATGACGAAATTAACTGCCTATGCTTTGAAATGGGAAGCAAGAAAACGTGGAATAAGAATCTTGTAGTTTACCTATATGGCAAACGTCCATAGAACATTATATATACATTTACCCCGGAAACTACTCACTACTGCCAGAAACCACATCTCGCTGATGTGCCATTCTTCTTTTTTGATCACTTCATAAACATAGACAATTCTTCAAGATGATGCATATGATCGATTATATTAATGAGCATAGAAACATTATACTTTTTACAATGGGAGAACCATGATATGAGCCAGGCTGGACTGAAGTGACACCGCGGCCTCAAAAATAGGAGCGAAAATAGGATCAACTCGATCGTCACCTTGACCGCGTTCGGCGTTGTGATTGGTGAAGAGTTCAGTGCGGGCCAATCGCAACACCGAGCGCGGTCACCGTGGCGATCTAGTGGATGTGACATAAACTCAAACTAGGCCATGCCATTAAAGAAAAGGTCGAATAAAACATTATTATAGGAGCTGTTTACCTGGTCTAATTTTAACGTAAAATCAAAACATTGCATTAACATTTTATTGGTATTTGCAGTTTGAAATCGCAAACATGTAATAACCATAATACAACTACTATACGAACTGTAAAATTATGTTTAAGACACCATTTGCCTGTGTTCATTTTCTGAGTTATTGGCAGGAAAGAGTATGCCCTCGTATGTGACACCATTCAGTTCTATTGTCACTACCAGCTGCTGGTCACCTGTGCTGGCGTCACCTGTGAAAGTAAATCATTCATTAATATTGTCATAATACTTTTAGGAGACTTAGTGCACGTTAGAACTTGCAACATTCTGAATTCAGACGTTTAAACCAACTTTATAGTTTCCGCGTTGCCATTTTGATTTTTAATACTTTCGGTTTTTTTCCATCGCCAATCCTTTTATAACCTGCATCTACGTTTTCATTTTTATGTTTGTTACCTCAGAACTTCATCATTTATGAATCAATTTGGAAACTTCTATAAATTCATCTTAATGTCATTCAAAATATTAAAGATTTACAAGTCCTATCATTTCAACGGTTCTCTTGTCCTATTTTTGTTTAAATAAATAGATTAGTCCGACAGGACCCTATTGCATTAACTAATGGATTGTATTTGGTTTATATTTTTTTTATTAACAATGAATTTAAAAATGGCAATACCATCTCGAATGTACATACCTCTAGTGGTGATCTTAAAAGCGGCTCCGTTGGTTCCATTGGTGGTTGGCCCATTAAAAGCTTGCGACGTAGAAGGCCCATTTATAGCGTGCGACGTAGAAGGCCCATTAAAAGAGTGCGATGTAGAAGGTCCATTAAAAGCTTGCGACGTAGACGGTCCATTAAAAGCGTGCGACGTAGAAGGCGTATTAAGCTGCGATATGTGTGCAGGTGGCGCTAGCGCAGATGAAGGCGGTGTGGCGCTAGGCGATGCTGATGCTGGACGTCGTTTAGCTGGTGGTGGCGAGGACTGAGAGCCCTCGCGCTTGCCGCCTGATGTGCTGGAGCCCGGACTCTCGCTCAGGTTCAAGGCCTCGCTGCGAGTTAAGTAAAGCGAATTGTTAATTCTTTAAGTTATGAATATGTGTGTATTATTATTTTCAAATACGTGAGAATCAAACCCAATAGTCCTTAGTCAGAATTAATTAATGTAGATATGTTTTTGCGATGTAAGACAATATCCATCGAAGTCGATATCATACAATAACACAAAACCAAAAACAGTTGAGAGTTCTAAAGTAAATTAGGGTGTTTTCAATTGAAAAATGCTTTTTTTTTTTTATTTTTTTTTTAAAAAGACAACTCCCGCATTAGGAAAATATCCTGTGTAGCGGGGGACTTTACAAATATACATGAAACGGACACCCAGACTTGGAACAACAATTTGTGGATCACACAAAGTGTCGTCCCATGTGGGGTTTGAACCCACAACACTCGGCGTAGTAGGAAGCGGCGTGGCGACCGCTTAAACCACTACGCCATCCGTGCAGTCATGTAATTTTAGTTTGAACATGTAAACATCGAGTGAAAGTAAACATCGCCAAGAGATCAATAAAATCATCTTTCTACAGTCGTCCACGTCCATCCAAAGGTTGCATGTAAGATATAGCTTTTTAATGGTAAGGCTACCATTCATATGAACATTTCATTAACTTCATGCACTCTTGTGTATATGATGTACTAACTGGTGTACAATAAAGTTCATTCTCTTCTATTGTATTCTATCGTTACGAATATCTAAATCCTATGGATGCATTTTATTTTTTGTAATTTTTGTATTAAATTAGGCATATGGTATATGTCTAATAGTATTGTATGGTGTTTATGTTTTAATGATTAAGATTGTAACAATCAACACAATTGCTTTTCTCCGAGCCTTTTTCCAAACTAAGTTGGGTCGGCTTTAAGTCTATTTAGATACGGCTGAACTTTGATTTTTTATGTAGACCCACTGCCATCAGACCTCCAGAAACCAAGTACTAGGCGATATCGAAGCTCTGTAGAAAGGCTCCACCTACACGTAACGATTGCCACGGATATTGGTATGGCAACCGGGGATGACTACTTAACATGCTCTCGAGGCACGCAGGGCCACAACGTGTTAAGAACACCCATCTAGAGATTGACCCGGCTAAGATTGTTTAACTATGCAATGTGTTACCACTTAGCCACGAGCCCCTAGCAAACCCTAACAAACAACATAATTACGTTATTGTTATTCTGTAATGATTCTCTTTGTTCTTACCGTTGTGGCTCGAGATCAGGCGGAGATGCGTGTACGCCGTTTTGATTGCCGTAAATGCTCCAGAGTGTGAAGCGTGTTGATATATCCATGGCGTTGAGAGCTGCTTCGCGCGGTGACATTGCTGGCGCTTGGCCATTCACACTTACAGTTGGTGGTGACTCGGCTCCTGTGGAAAATAGTAACACACTGAGACTGACTATAAATGAAAGAAATACTGTACCTATGTTTATTTTTATCCCTTTCCTACTACCTTCGGTTCTTACAGACTTTCTACTCACTCCCTACCTCGCCCTACCCCTTCGGGGAAACAAATGTGACCGGTGTGATACTCACATAGGGGGCTAAGCAATTCTTCCTTTGCTTTTCCCGAGTGAGTTACAGGAGCCCAAACCCTCAAAACCCAGGGGACTCTAATTGGAGGAGTTGTGATTATTTAATTGCATACTATCAGGTGATCCTTTCATCCTTTTACCACTTACACCATGAATAAAAAAATATTTAATTTTTGCTTTATCCGAACTTCAAATACGAAATTTTATCCTGTTCTGCAGTGATGGCGGTTTTTTATCGCAATTTATTGGTCGTTTAAGGTGTCTCTTTTGCACGTTTTATTATAAGAGAACGTCGTATTAGGTATAATAAAACTATCAAAGTATAACATAATAGACTAAGTCTGTAATGTTTTATTTTTTACTATTAACAAACCTCTGGTGGAATGTGCTGAACATAAAATAGATTCAATGAACGCGGGTTCCTTTTCCGTGTATTTCAAATACTTTATGTATTGACACATCTGTTTGCCATTCTAGTTTGGTTGGATTTAATGTTACTATAATCCTCTTATATTTAATTAAATTTATTAACAATTAAAAGTTAATAATCAATACTTAGACTTACAACTAAGTGTGTTTTTAAGAAAGCTATACAATCGAAACTGATATGGGATATTGATTAAATTATAAGAATGACTTCTTATAATTTAATCAATATCCCATATCAGTTTCATCATATTTCTATCTATCTATCTCGTCTTCGTGTGTTTGTCTTCATCTAAGAAAACAATGAATTAATTAAAGCTCATCATATGACTAACCATTTTGCAGCAACTGTTCTCGCTGTTGTTGCAACATTTTCAGGTACTCTCGAACTCTGTACTCGATTTCATGCGGCGGTATATGCGGCGGGTGTGGTGGCATTGGCATACGTGGCGCCACCGCTCCGAGCGGCAAGGGAAGAGGCTGCATATGGTGAGAGAGTTGCGCCAGTGAAGCAGGTATGCCACGGTTCATTGGGGGGTGCTGGAATTGCCGAAACTGTTCATAAGTTAAGTACTGTAGGTTAATTAATAAGCTCACACACGGCCCTCTGATACCAAACTAGGCAGAGCCTATACTTATTTCTAAATACATAAATATTATAAATAATTTACATACAGACACAAAATAAATGAGCGTGCTCATCACACAATTATTTGACCTGGGTGGGAATCGAACCCACAACCTCTATCTTAACAATTAAGATCACTAATTACTAGAGCAACAGGCCCGTGTTAAGAAGTCCCCTATATGTAAAAGATTAGAGAATTCATTCAAAGTAGTGATGTACTATACGTCCGTGGTTTTTTTTTGCTTAAGGCAGAAAACCTCCAGTGTGCCTAGAAAAAACGGTAAAGAGAATACTTAGTAAGGGATAGTCCATTAATCACGTGGGATTCGAAAGGGGTCTCCCCCCCTTTCGTGTGTTCGGAAAAATTCATGAAATATCACAAGGGGCTATATAATGAGATATCACGTGTATTTATTTTTTGTTGAAAGCTCAATATATTTCATTTTTCATTAATTTCGATGTACAAATATGTATATGTTTTTCTTACACCTTTCTTTTTATGCCTGTCAAAAAACAAACTGCAAGCTTAATGTCTGTCTGGACATTTTTATCGCGATGCTATTTTTCAAAAATTTAATCTGATTATACCTGTATTTAAAGATAATATTCTCAGAATTTCAATATACTTTGTACCAAAAAAAAACCGTGATTTTTATTAGTGTTAAACCTCACCACATATCACTAGGGTAAGGGGGGTTAAAAGTATCACGTGATCAATGGACGATCCCTTAGTATAAACATCGGCCACTACGTTAATCTGTTGGCGTTATGTGCCAGTCGAACTACTTTACCGTTTGTGACACCACAGGACAGACATAGCTGTTAAATATAAAAATCTTTTACTAATGAGTTGATGACAATATAAAATATACATTTACATAAAATACGCTAGGGTCAAGGGGACATGTGCTAGTCTAAGCGAAAAATAGGAAACAATTTAGCAATCTATAACTAATAATATTTAATATCGTAAATGTTTGTCAAATTGTAAAGTTATTTCTAGAGAGACATGGTATATTTATAAATCTTGAATGTTCTGAAGTATTATGAATATTTATTAGCAGACCAAAAAATAAAACTAAAATAAATAATATTTATGTTCTTACCATTGCTAAAGCGGCTTGTGCATCAAATTGACCCGAAGCGCGCCTCCCCTCGCGCTTGTTACCTTCTATTGCGGCTTCCAACTCAGGTCTTACAGAAAAGTGATTTTTGTCACATTCGTACTCATATAAATATTTCATGTACCTGGAAATAATTTATTTATGATATTAAAGTAGAATTAGACACTACCTGCAGTAAAACCTTTCTCGACAAGGTAAGGTAATTATGATAATGAGAGCCAACAAATTGTGCCGTAATGCACAATAATTACGAAAGGGGAAAACGCCAAAGTAAAGATTACTAAAGATTATAGATTGAAAAGATGAAAATTCAAATTAATGTTATGAGTGTCGCAATATTACATAGATTTTAAGCATAAATCACACATAACAATTACTTAACCCGGTTGAACATAACGTTTCAAAGATTTTATTGGGATGTAAACTTTACAGAAATTTTGTGTTTTATCTGCAATAAAGGATACAGACATGTAAAGCGGCACCGACAAAAAAGAAACGGTTCGTAACTATCTATTATAATTCAAAATAATGTCCGTATCTATCAACTAAGAAACAAATCATAACTTTTCAATGTCAGTGTCACTATTCAGTCCTTTTAACAAATCTAATAATATCTTTACCACTTCACCGGAGACACGACAGCTAGTAAATCATATTACAAGTCCAATTATTATCAAAACCCTATCCTTCAAATATAATACGTACCATTACATCCTTAATCCTATTCTGTTATGTGTCAATTTTATATGGTCGTATTGTATGGGTACCTTACCATATGTCATATTAAGTGATCACATATTTAATGCGTAACACAAAAGCCGCACTCGCCGACGCGTAGTCGTAAAAACGCTACCTTTAAAACTGTCACTCGAATCTATATATACGACATTCGTCATTACGGTTAGACTAATTTTACGAGTGTCACTCGATGTCCGTCTGTTTGTCATATTAAAAATAGACTATTGTCTTGATTTAACTGTACAAATATGTGGCGGTTGATGTTGAATTACGAAATCTTAGGAGTCTAATTTCTGAATATTCTTTCAATGCTGCCATAGGACGTCTACTGCTGTGTAGCAGTATAACGGCCTAGGTATACTGCTACACAGCAGTAGACGTCATTCAATGACTTTCAATTGGACCGGTTGGAAGCGGCCTGCACCCACAATGTATTATGTCTACCGTGTCTTATATTCTACCGTTTGAGAGCCATGCTTTTCTTTGACCCACTAAACGTCTACTCAGTAACTAACATAAAACAGAAACTTATATTTTTAGGCAACAAAGTCAGTTGAAACATTATGAAAATGAACATCACTACGCGCATACATAACACTGTCTATAGAAGGTGCGTTTAAAATGATCATATCGTGCGTAACGTACATTTTGTATCCGTCTAAACCTTCTTTGCGTCACAGTACAAAAGTAAAGGTGAATAAACTCTACAAGATAAATGAGAAATTATATCGGCCGAGATGAGTTAGAGGTTATTAATTATTAAGTTGTCATATTGTCGTCGGCGGCTCACGTACTCTATTGTGGTGTGGTCTTTGTCTCCTCCCCGTGAGAATTTGTATGAGGCTGGATACAAAGCAACTTCTAATATGGAGCTCCTGAGTATTTAAGACCACACATTTCTTTCGAAGATTAGGCTCTAAATGAGGCTCGGTTTCTATTTTGTCGGGTAATTCTCCTACGTGTATGTAATGTAGATGTGCTTATATCGGTGAACCTTTACTTAATTATTAATTTCATATTCAACTTGTAATAAATAGCTTTGCTCAATAATATTAATCTGATTTCTTAAATGAACCACTCGTCAGTAGTGATTTTGTTTTAATTCTAAAACTTGCACGTTTCGCTGTTGCTGATTCAATGTTCTATGTATTAACATCTCAATTGTCTAACATAATCATTAGATCCAATTATTACTACGACAATATTTGAGCTAGGTACATGTATGGGACTCTGACCTTCTCGACATTAAACTCCTCAATTCATCAATATAAGCAATATCTTTTTTGCCTTCGTTTCTTGCCCACTTCTCCTATTTCTTTTACTTCCAATTGAACCTATTCTTAATTCCCATAGTATCATACTGTTATATGGCATATGGCATTAGGCAATAACTTGCTTGGCAATTGCGCCAAAATGTGAGTGCTTATTCGGAATAAGCACTCACATTTTCGCGCAATTGCCAAGCAAGTTATTGCCTAATGCCAATGCAAAATGATGCCTATACCCCCGAAGAGTTAGGCAGAGGCGGATCTGCCTAACTCTTCGGGGATATAGGCATCATATTGCATACATATACGTACATATGCATCATACCTATTCATATGTATGTATATGTATAAAAAGACAAAGTACAGTAATAAGTACATATAGACTAAGGTGTATTATTTATCAATCATGAAAAAGACAGCGTAAGTACCGATAGATAACTATCACTCTTTAGTATAAGAATAACATTGCCCAAGTATGCCAAAACCTCATTTTTAAGGAGACGCCTATGTCCAGCAGTGGACTATTAAAGGCTGTTGATGTGATGTGATAATCGCAAAAACTCGCCAACTAGAGTTGTATTTCCAATTCTTAAGATTATAGTTAATACTTACTGTGTGCGTAGTGTGAAAGCCGCTGATGTGATTGAGGATGGCAATTTAAGACCTTTGATTATTTCTTGCCAAAGTTTTTTATTTATCACCTCCACCAGACCTCCGCGAGCAACCACCAAGTTGTACAATTCATACAAGTCCAATACTGACTTGGCCATTATTGGCAACCGGTTGATTGGTGTTCCTGTAACAAAAAGGTGTTGGAATAAGTTCTCCGAGAAGTGTGTATTTTCAGGTTTATTCACAAAGTTAATGTTGTATGTTGTTAATCTTTTTATTTTAAAATAATAACTTAAAATACTGTAATTTAACCTCGAACATAGATTCATTTATTAATTACGTAAATTAAATACAGTTGTAAACTGCAAAAATAATAGTAACTAACTACAATAATAATCAACAATAATCAAATAATCAAATTTACGCTTAACTAGCCGAACTAAAAAGTAGAAAATAATTTTCTAAGCACGTTCGAAGATGCCGTTATATTCATACATACATACGTACATACATACCAAACTAATAAAAGCGTGTTAATAAAAAATAAAATCAGTTGCAGACATCACAAGAAAAACACGAAAAGAAGAAAAATCAAATAAAATGAAAGTAATCCGCTTTATATAACTGAACTATTCAGATCAGGAAAATAATGAGATAACTTTAAATATACGTCATAATAAGTAAAGACGTATAAGCAATAAACCAACACAAGGAAACATGTTAATCACACTAGATAGCTTCGAATAGAAGCGGCCAGAACATTTGCTCACTATTGCATGTTGTAAAACCCTTTAGTGCGCACTTGGTAAGCCTCGTAAAAACGAACACTGCCAACTACGACTATATAAGATGAAACGGGCTGAAACAGGGCTAAATGTCGTCCGTGAATGGACAGCTTTCAAACCATTTTATTGAATAAAGATATTGAGTAATGTGTCATTGTTATCGATAATATAATATCGTAGTAGGTAATTTAGTACCGATAGATAATATAGTTACAAAAAGTTGTAACTAAGTGCCATGACGTTTTGTGATAATAAATATTTAATAACCTTTATTATATCTATATGTAAATCTATGTAACTTTCTTAAATGTATTAGATTTAGGTAACTAATCTTATTTGCGTCATTTCATATTCTTTTGTGTATGTAATCTTAATAAATTATTTCCGAACAAAAAATTAACAAATAATACTGAGTTTGGTATTACTATTATTTTTCACCATTAAGGAGATCTGATATTCAAACAAAACATTAAAAATGAAAAAAAAAAATACGAATTAGAAACTGCAAATACACAAAAAGACTATATATTTAAACTATTCTATATTTATACTATTCTATATTAACTATAATATATTTAAACTTATTTGCATTTCAAGTATAATAATCATAGATCACAAAATTCTTAATGCTTGTCATATTAAATAAATTACACGAGAAACTCTTCAAGACCAAGGCCTTATTAAAATAAACCATAGAAATACCAAAACGACTGATGATAATTTTTTTAGATATAAATATTGTGATTTCTTATCAAATGTATTAAAATAACAATGAAATATAAAAATATGCATAGCACACGTGAAGCTGGCAACAAGGCTCGTCGAGCGTGGTGAATCGCATCGCATCGCACGATCGATGATTTACGCGTTGCGCGAGCGCGTCAGATCGCGGCTTTACGACGCGAGAGCAGTGTTAGTAGCCCGGATTTAGCACAGCCCGTGTGGCCACGGAAGCTGGCCGTTTGTTCTACAGGCTTGTTTGCCAGTTTTGCCACTATTTGATTTACTGTAATTTGACTGTTAACTTGTGTTAGATGACGTGACGAATCCGGATCGTGCTCGCTATAAGGAACTGCGAACTACTTAGCCATGCTAATAGGGGCTGTCAGTGCTTGAGATGTTTACAATCTTGACGCAAAGCAATGTATTCAATAACTACACTTCCTATGTTCACCGCTTGTGTTAATAGGCATATACATATTTTATGAATTAGTACAACCATCCAACTTTATTTTAATATCTCGAGAATATAACTTAATCTGGATGATGTCCTTTCCTGTAGTATGTAACTAAGGCACCAAAGGTAAAAAAAATAAAGATTTGCAATTATACCTAATATTAATTAGAAACCCATCTACATTCCATAATGGTTGAAAATGTTTAAAATTACAGAAACCGTAGGCTTATTATGAAAACAAAGATGAACAAACAAACATGAAAAATAATTTAATTAAATCTGATTAATACGATAAAATTGAATTGATTAAGAATGTTTTTTGAAGATTGATTTTAATTTATAAGTGTCATATTTATCATGTAGTCTGTAAAATAATTACTTACATAATAATTTGCTTTTATTTTCAGAGGAATTTCATTTAGACGTTATCGCGCTTACGTTCAAAGCGCGATAACAATCAATCAACATTCGCGTGAAATAATTGCTGCAAACAATTCGTTACATTTGCAAAGTCACTCCAGCAAGGTTATATCGAGTTACAAGTTGTCTCAAGGCGAATCCAACATTTCTTATACAGTATGTTCTCTATTTCTTTAATTTGAATTATATCATTTTAATTATTTTATTGTAACCCTTGCGCATGAGAACGCACATCTGAAATGTACCTGTTGGGTAGTACTGATACCGATACTGGAAAATATAGTGTTATACTAAGAAACTATGACTACTACTACTTTTTTCACGATTAAATTAGTATTAACCATGTATATAATACCTATATAAAACGAAATGCATGCATACATTATTTACGAATTAATGTATGTTTTCATATTATCAATATTCAATATTCTTTTGTTTTATACTTAGAATAACCTTAGCCTACTTTTTAAGGAGAGGGCTATATTCAGCAGTGAACTATTAAATCCTGCTAATGGTGATGACGACTTAAGAATTAATTGAATTGAAACATGACCGAGGTAATAAATTTTCTTTCACCACAATGATGACAGACAATGACAACAACCAGTGTTTTTTCGTAACGCGTACAACCATACACTTGCATGTACTTGAATGATTTCGTGTCAAGCTACTATCGACAACGTTTCAGCAACTTCCCTAATCACAAATTCCTTAAACAAGAACAAACCTACAGCGTCGATCGTTTATTGATGAGAGCGAAACATTAGCGAAATACCTAAACGACTATTTGTCAATCCGTCTTCCTGTCTGCACTTAATCATTCCCCCAGTTATCTGGGCCACGGCTGAACCGGGGTGTGAGGCAGGGGGTAGGGAGGGGTGGTTTAAGCAAGGGGTGGGTACGTCACCCGTTCAGATTAATTGCCACGTTTGAAGTAAATGGTACAACATGATGACGCAGAATTGGACTAAACAAGCAACCGATGTATCTGCCAGTATATTTACTGTATAAGGTTTACTCGGCATTACGTAAGTTATATTGTGCCAAATTATCTCCTTGTTCATTTATAGAACATGTACCCCTTTTTAAATAAATATGCCGACTGAGGGAGCAAACTATGCAAGACAACAGCACTGCAAAGAGAAGGAAAACTTGACACAAACCCTATACCAACCCGTCTGGACAGCGTGGTATAGTAGGCCAAAACCTCCTTTCTAAGGAGAGGCCTATCTCCAGCAGTGGACTATTAAATTCTGTTGATGAACAATTCAAGCTATACTGGTCATGAAATAAAACAAAACATTCCAATCTGTCGTAAATCGACTGATCTGACTTTTAGTATGAGGAAATGTGTAGAAAAAATTAAGGTAGGTAACATCTCTCAACTAATTTAATTTGTGTTAAGTTTAGTTATTGTTGGGTAGAGCAACATAGTGATAGAACATATAAAATTTGTCATGGCCCATTAGTCATTGTTCTGCGTTAGCCATGAAAATTCTTACCAATTTACCTAAATTGGTAAAAAAAATCCTAGTAAAATTTATATAATTCCGCCTAGACTAGTGTTAGAGTAAAATGAAGAAAATTCAGTTTAAGGCCTAGAGAAATTCGAAAATCATTTGAGATATGGAAAATACTTCTTATTATATTTTCCTTAAAACAAATATTAAGTGGTAAGTAGACCTATTTTTGCCACCCTTACTCTCCACACTACGTTGACAACCTTAATTGCACCCTACTAAGTTGCTTTGAGCAAAATCGCAACTTTTATGACACGGTCCCATCCATAATAAAGTGACCTGTAACGTTTCGACCTGTTGAATGAATTCCTAAAAGAGGTAAAGATCTAGGTATACTGGTAGGTGGTTGATAAAGACACCTTTCTTTGATCTGAGAAATTATGACGTGTTTTGTAGCCGGATGAATGGCTGGTTAATGTATGAATTTGATCGAAATTAATAAATATAATATTTACATAGATTAGTATATATGTATGATACCTATTTCTAATAGGTAAGTAAGTATCTGAGTAGCACGAAGTATTTTTTTTTTACACAATTAAGTATAAAATTACTAAAGTACTGAATTATTATTGGGAAACTCTAAATTAAACTTAAAATCCGGGCAAGAAATAAAAAGACATGAGTTTTCAATTCCGTTTACCGTGAAATTTTATGTAGACATGTACTGTCAAAATCTCAATTTATACCTACAATAATGCCAATTTGTAATAAATGACTAGGTAACTAATATTAATTGTATTTTGTACACCTAGTGTAGTTGTATCTTTAAAATCATAATGAAATCAAAGTTGAGCCGGTGGTTACACCGCATTTCGAAAATATCGTAAATATGTACAACAAATTGCCAGCAATTGAACAGGGTACCGATAAAGCACGATTTTACACATCGAATAGCTTCTAAACAGGATTGCGTAAAGTGTAAGCGTTATCACACGAACAGCGAACAATCCCGTTATCCGAATAACGCAAAGTTTACAAGAACCCGTGGACAAAAGCTATTGTTTATGAAAGCAATCACCCCAATAACGATTTCCACAAAACGCATTCCGTGCGGTACGGCGGAAAACGCGCGATTCGATGCGCGTGCGCCCAGCGCACCGAGCCGCGCGCGCGCGCTATTTGCATACGACGTACCATTTATAAAAGGCCCACACAACACAGCTCGGTTCGCCTGCTCACTCGCACTGACGGCTCACTCAATTCGGCCGTCCCAAGCATTATTTATGAGCTATGTCAAATTGCCAGCGGAGCCA